GAATTTATCTCGCAAAAATCGTCGAGATAATGTCACAAATGAGCAATTACTCGACTCAAATACTTGAACCAAGTGGTATTCGAGTATTCGAAACCGTTTAACTCGGGATTAATAGAATGGTCATGGTTCAAACAAGTATATTTGGCAGCGGCATCAGGATTAATTAATTAGCAAAGTCAGAAATCATTTTGGTTGCCGGCCAACGTGTTCCAACGTCCCTCTCTCTCTCTCTCTCTCTCCCTTCTCTCTCGTTTTTTCGCCCGGTAAATAAGAGGCGAAACTTCTCTAACTCGATTTTGCGCGAGAAAAATCGTATTGGGCACGTGGATAAACGGCCAACTATACGCGTACGCGCGTTTAAAGCTCCGGCCTATCTCTGGCGAGAAAAATGAAAACAGCTTTTTCCAACGTGCCGTGGAAATACAGCGCGAGGCATGGAATGGTGGCAACCTCTCCGCCGCCATGGTCCAACGCCATTTTACGGGGCGAAATAACTGGAAAGAAGAGCCGATGTGGAATTGTGGAAATACGTACATTCGCGTCCATTCGTGTATCCGCGAAACATCCGAGATTTATCGAGGCGTAAAATATATTATCATCGCTCGTGAATGATTTCGCGATTTGTAAATTGATCTTTTTTTTTTTTAAAAAAAAACAAAGAATTAATTTATTAACAGGGAGAGAATTCTGAAAATATTGTTTTACGAATTTTGGGGGAAATTGATTTATTAAACGATCAAAATTCTAGGAAAGCAAGCTTCGAAAATTACATTTACGCGAGAAAATGATAATGACGGAAAATTCGAGGAATTTTTTTCTAAATCCTTAAATCTTTTTTATTCGGTCTAGCCAAGAGGAGTTCCTTCACTTTCAATGGGACAATCCAATACCGACTCGTTTCACGTGAGAGGATTTCGTTGAATCGTCTCGTGGACGAGTTTAATCAGCGAGAACGTGCATATACCTCCGCGAGAAAGAGGTGCAGAATTTCTACAAATTACCAGTCCATCCTCAACTATGGACATTTTATAAATCTTTGCCGGTTGGCCACGCTCTGTATTGCGATTATCCCGGGTTATTTTCCATGTTAGATACGTTTATTAACACGGAAAAGCTCGTACTATTGATATCATAAATTTAAAGGGAGAGAGAGAGAGAGAGAAACTCGAACGTTGTTCCAACAAAATGTTCCTAGAATTGATATTTGTTGGACACTTTTTAGAACGTGCGGTAATAACCAGCAAACAGTTTCTCGTTGTTTCAACCCGGACTATTAAATACGTCTAGGTTTATTAATTTAAAACTTGTTCTAAACCTGATGATGCTACGCGACGAAAACTGCCAATTATTATACGTTTACGAACCAACTAGTTGAACACTGACGAAAAATGATCGAAATATAATACAACATTTCGTTTCCACGTATTCAACTGTATTGGAATATACAGGAGGCATGGTCACAATATTTTTAACAAAACAAAAAAAGAAAAAATTCGATACGAATTTTCTCAAAACAGACGAGTCGAAACGATCGTATCCTAGGGAAATTTAATTTTAATAACGGAATAGCCGAGACAGGCCATTGAGTTTTTATTACGAATTTCCATTTTTAACAAACGCAGAAAAAAGGTATCGTCGACCATCCATTATTATAAAAATATATCTCAATTGCGGGCTTCGTTTTCGGCCATTTCCATCGATGAAAATCGCTTACTCTTTTTCTCCCCCCTTCCACAAATCCATTTATCAAATTCCCATCAACTTTCTCTAACAAAATAAATTCCGCGGGGGGATGCTTTATAATTAACCACCGTCGACAGCGCGCTGCCTCTTTTGCTCGAATCCGTGTGCACGGATAAAGATCAATATCCTGGACCGAAATCTCTTCGGTAAACAGACACGGCAAATTCAAACAAGATCGAAGAAAAGAAATTTCGCGAGATCTCGGTGGTTTCTCGATGTTTGCACTTTCGAGCTTATTCGATATCTGCGAGCTATATTTAATGCACAGACAGGGCAGAATGGTTCTAATTTCCCAAGTATCGAATCGAATACACGTACGATATATATATATATATATATATCCACGTTTCATATTTTCTCTCCCGTGCGGAGATGGTGAAAAATGGTTCGCTCGGCCAGGCGTCGTTTAATCTCGTTTCTTCCGTTGTCAGTCACGGTACAGGAACGGCCCTGTGGCGGCGTTAATTGCCATTTTACTCGGAGATACGGTGACCTCGAAGCACGTGATTCGAATTTTCGAAGCAAAAACGTTGGTCGTTGCGCCGTTTCGTGTCGAGCCACGCGCTATCGCGTATAGTTTGTTACCAGCCGACTGGAAAACTTTATGGCGCTATCAACACGTTTCGACCGGAATGCTGGACGACAATGGATGGGGATTAATGTTCGAGATTCTCTCTCCCTTTGCTCAGAGAAAACGCTGGAACCGGGTAAACGGTTTCAAATTTTTCCTTCCCTTCCCCTTCTTCCGCCTTTCTTCCATTCCCTTCACGCGGATGGATAAAACGCGGATTCGTTCGTTTTTCGTTTCGTTAGAAAGACGTAGGCTCGGTGACACGCTGAACCATCCACCGTGAGTCCTATTCATTCCGTTTATCGCGCGTCTCGCCCAAGGTTTTGCCCAAGTTTTCGTCGTTTCTCAAGTCTATACATAGTCTATATATACAACCCCGGTGGGAGACGCATAACCGACGCGATATCTCGCCCTTCCTCCACTAAGTAAATTTCACGAGCAACAAACTATCTTGCATGCATATCCTCCCCGATAAATCTTCCCCCTTTCGGATGTTTCGAAACTTTCGCGCGAATTATTTTACGAATTGGCCAAAGTTTGGACAATTATTCGCTCGACGAGAAGGAAAAGAGAAGAGGGAAGAAACGCGAATATTTGATATTTGAAAATGATCGTAATAACTCGACTTCAAACTATCAGCGTGAATCTTGATTCGTGTGGCGCGCGTGAACATCTCCCGTTTCCGCGACTCTTCAACGCGGAGATGGCGGAGAAGCCCGATTCCGTGGCTCGTGTTGCAAACGTAATCTGAGAGAATGCAGAATCTCGGGCGAGGAAACGGCGTACCGTGACGCGAGTTGTGCCAGTTCGTTTCCTTGAAGAGAGTGAATTTTCCTAGAGAGAGAGAGAGAGAGAGGGAGAACGCAAGGTGGTTAAAGGTTTGGACGACGTTCGAGCAAAGGAACATTTCTTCAGGATGACACGTTTGAGTTTCTTCTTTCAAACCGTCCTTTGTTCAATTTCATCCGATTCCATTTGTTAAGAGGGATGATTTTTTTTTCTTTTTCTCTTCTTTTTTGCGAGGTTTGACGCAAGAAGATGGAGATTGGATCCAAGTTTTAAAAGCTGGATGACGAAAAGATTTCGATATCGAATTCTTTTTTTCTTCTTCTTCTTCTTCTTTCTTCTCTTTATTATCGTTTGGGTTATGCTCGTTTCAGCAATCGTTTGTCAGCAGTTTGAAAAGATTTGAATTTGAGCGTTGCGCGGATGAATAATAGATGAAAATATTCCGGAGAAAGGAGAGAGAGAGAGAGAGAGAGAGAATGATACGTAAGTACACGTAAGTAGAGTGGATGATTATTGAGAAAAATGAATTCGTGGAAAGGATATTCGGGAAAAAGGAAAAGGAAATATCAAGGGGCAATGGCAAAAGTGAATTCACATTGAATTTCGTTAATCTCTATCGATCGATTTTCCCAACGGCGGTTGAAGTTATCGGTTTTTAATTTTCCTCCCTCTCCTGCTGAAACTTCTTTCTTTCTTTCTTTCTTCCTTTCTCGTAACACGAAAAAGTTTCGAGTGGCGTGGAAAACCCGTTAAAAAGCATCCTTGGGTTTTGCACGCCTCGTCAAGATGAACAATCTTCTCCAAGTTTGTCCCGCTTGCTCCCGTTCTCACACCGTAACACCAGGCGCAATTGCATTCAACACTCGCCAAGTTCTTCAACTTTTTTTTTTTATTTTTTTTTTTTTATTTTACCCCAACGTTTGAATTCTTTATCGTGTCGGTTTTATTTCGTTTCGTCGAAAGCGCCGCCGCACTTTCCACACCGAGCAATAAATATAATCTTGGAGAATGATGAAACAAGAAGTCGTTACTGTTCTTTGATACAATTTTCTCGTTCGATACGTCAAACGTATCCGTCCAAACTCGTCCATCGTTTCACTCGGATTTTATCGAAAGAATCGATCGAGTATTCCGCCATTTTCCAGATAAACGTACGTCTGAGAAAAAAAACGTATTCGAAGTTCTCGGATTGCGTGGAAACTTGGGAGGAGAACTAGAATTTTTTGAACTGGTCGTCCAACTCCTCGAGGAAATCTTCGAACCGCGAGAGACTTTTCGTGAAAAGTTTGAAGAGCAAGATCCACGCTTAATAAAAATGTTCTTACATCGTTTAACTTTTTTTTTTCTTTTGCCAGCTTATCGTTTCGAGACGCGAGAAAGAGAGAGAGAGAGAGAGAAACATCCGTTCCAGGGAATAGTTCGATTTGCTATCGATTCGAGACATGTTCCGTTCGTATAACGCGGAGAAATTTCGTATCTAATGGATCAGTAGATTGTGGCAAAACTTTGCCAAGTCTCTCTAATTAGTTCGATTTAATCGACTGGTCGCGTTCTCTTTGTATTCGTTGCATTGGCTTTGTTCCAGACCACCAGCATCGTCCCCGCTATTCGAATTCGATTACCAAGAGGGAAAGAGAAAGAGAAGGGTACAGAAATAGTGAAATCGTGTACGATCCTGGGAATAAAAAGTGTGGCGAACATCCTCTATTCCAAAAGGAAATGCAGATCAAATGCTCGTTCAAATTCAAATTCTCACGTTAAAATATACAAGATAAGAGGCAACATCGCGATTCAATCGAATCGGAACGTCGCGCGTTGGAAAAGGCGAAAGGTACAGATACTTTGTTCTAAAAAGATAGGCGTTAAGAAACGCGATGTTTCACGTACAAACACTCACCCAAGAAGCCAGGGATCGCGCCTAGAGGCATGACGAACAGGCTGACGAGTAAATCGGCCACCGCGAGAGACAAAAGGAAGTAATTGGTGACGTTGTGCAGCCTTTTGTCGAGCCCCACTGCGAGGCAGACGAGTATGTTCCCCAGGCCACCCGCCACGATAAACACAGCGACGAAGAGAAAGTTCCAGTCGAGACGTCGGCCTCTGCTCCCAGCCGAGCTCAACTTCGTCCTGTGCGAACAAGAGACGGTCAGGTCTTCCGTCGTCGCGTTCTCCGTCGCCGTGCACTCCAAAATCTGTGGACAATGCAGAAGAATCAATGAAAGGGGCTGAAACGATGGAACGTATGGACGTATATATACGATTACGCTGAATCTTAGACCTCGGGTGTTCACCTGATCGCCAAAATCGGTCTCGTTGCACTCGTTGAACCTCGACAACCTCGACAGGAAAACGCCCTCTATGCTCTCGAGTCCGCTGAGGACCAGGGACACGTTCACGTCGCAGTTGGAGTAATCGCAGGGCCTGCAGAGCAGAGTCATCGACGAAGCCAAGGTTCCCTTCTCGACCGTGCACACGTGGTCGAATCCCGACGAGGCGAATCCACACTCCTCCACGCATCCGAGGAAGCTGTCGTTACAGGGCAGGTGGTGCAACATCGCGGTCAGGTTGCCGGTCCAAGAGGTGATCAGATCCCCCTCCATGTCGTGGACAAATCGTATCGACAGGGATCTGGCCGGTGTTCCAACGAATCCGTTGGATTTGTCCCAAACTTTGTCACTTTGCGGATCACGACTCACGACAGACACCGAGCCATGTCTAGGGAACCCTAGGGCACCTTGTCCACGAAAGAGCAACGCCTAGTCACCCTATTCACTCGCGACACCCCACTTTGTCTTCTATTCCGCATAATTACCTTCTAGGAATTCGCGTTTGAAACGGAAACCTCGACACAGTTTCGCACATCCGTCACATCAAAAAAATTTCGGGGATTGGGTTGGATCAGCCAGCCAGAATAATTGGCCGTTCCTAATCTAATTAGGAAACGCGATCACGATGGCGTTGAGAGTGTCTTTTCGGCGACAACACCAACATTTTCCAACATCCCCGGTTTACTTTGATGTCCGTGTTCTAACTTTTCCCCGATCTGGCCCTCTCTCGTCTTTTCTACCTGGAACAAATGATAACGGTTTCAACCTCTCCCCGGAGGAATCGATTTATCGCGCCAAGCATTATTAGCTCGATCGCGCGTCCAACAATCCGTTCCTCCTCCCGAAACTGTAAAAAATATATATATATATATATATTCGACGACGAAGAAAAATTGAATCTAGAGTCAGCTCGACGACGAAACCGAAATGGCCGTTCCCGACATTGATCCGGTGGGAATGCGAAGCCAATCTTTGTCGTTTCGAATAGTGGAAATGTTTTTAAATTGAATGACTCTTCTTTTTTTTTTTATTTCCCCTCGATTATTTTTCCCAATTGTTGTTGAGGGACGCGCGATATTTCTCGACAATTTTATCGAGAAATTTTTATCGCTTTTGTAACCCTCTGTTTCCCGCGTCAAAATAATTCGACTAAAAATAAGGGGGGATGCGTCGAGCCGTAAAAATATAATCGTTAAATCGTTGATTCTCAGGAGGACACGTTGTCTGAGATAAGAAAGAGAAGGGATACGATCAAAGTGCAAGCACTAGTGATCCATCGATCACGCTTTGGATGGTAAGTGAAATATTATATCGGGAATGAACGAGAAACAAATGTTCGAAGTTAGAGGGATTGTATCTATGTAAAATCTGTGGACAGTTTTCTTGTCTTTTCTTTCTTTCTTTCTTTTACACGAGGAAATTCTTATTGGAAAAATAATAAAAGGCGAGGAGCGGGTCGAATATAATGGGATTGCATCGATCAGAAGTAAGACGAGATTAAGTACGCGATATCTGTCTAAACCCGACAGATAAATCACGTTCGAGAAGAGATGCTGACAGACGACAATAAGTCATCCCATTTATGGATTTCGTTAAACCTTTGTAATCAAGAAAATCATCGTCCTTTTTCTTCTTTTTTATACGATTTCTCTTCTGAACTTGCATCCATCCCTTTCTTTTCTCTTTCTTTCTCTATTCGACGGAATGATCCTCTGCGAATCTTCGTTCAAAGCAAAAATAAAATCGTGGTTATTTCCTCTTCGATCAGAGTACAAATTGAAGTACAAATATTATATATATATATTTTTTAGTTGCAAAAAAATAGAATTAAAGTTCTTTTGATAAATAGAACGACGATTAATATCTTTTTTTCGAATGCAATATCGATTAAAGTTCTTTTGATAGAAAACTATGAAAAAAGATGGAGTGTGAATTATTTATCTCGTGATCGGAAAACGTTTCCTAGCCTGAATTATATATAATACGATACCATCAAAATGTCGTATCTGTTATCGAAGGATAAGAATGGAACAACGCATATGAACGGATAAAGAGAGTTTAAACTTCACAGAGAGAGTTTGCGGAAGAGGCGCTCTACTGTTTCCTTTGCGAACTTGGGAATATTATGTCAGCGACAAATCCAGCCTCTTAACCGCGACGCGGTTAAACAGTTTCTAATTAACGCTCGTTGTAATATCCGCTTGAACCTTGCAATAATCGTTAGAAATGCTCGTTTTCGAGAGCGATCCTCGAACTTCGAATAACACGTCTCCTTTTCTAACTCGTTAACTTGTTGGAAAAATTTAATTTTCAAACGAGAAAATATAGGAGATGGAAAATGTACGATGTTTTTTAAAAAAAGTATTCGATGTCTCGTACGTAAGGAAAGCTGTTCGATCAACAGCTATTGTTCTTCGAAATGGCAAATAACTCGCGGAATCGTTCGAATACTCTCTCGTGCTCTTATATACGTAAAAGTTTTAAAACATCTCATATATGAAGTTTAATAACGACGGATGGAGCCCTTGCTTCCTACATAAATAATCCCCCTTTCTCGAAATCCATGGCGCTTTGCTGATGAATACGTAATCGAGAATGGCGCGAGGACTTATTATAAAAACTGCAATTGAATTCTACGGGAAGAATTCTACGAAAGCGTGGCCGTTCTCGCCCTTCCTAAATTTCAATTACGCGAATTTTTACCGGTCAACTTTTTTACTCTACTTTCCATTTAAAAATATTTTTCTGATTCGTGGAAAAGATCGTAGATCGTGTTTCCATCATTTCATTCTTTATATTCAGAGCCTCTCTCTCTCTTCGATACGATACGTTTCTTAAATATCCCTTGCAATATTTTAAATCCGGTATTCGAATGGAAAACACTACTTCGTTATGTTTCGCGAGGAATACAGCTTTTATTCCTATCTTAATAGCTCGAGAAAAGACAACCTTCCACTTGATTGAATCAACGATTCCCTGGAAAAAGTTTTCCCGTTTCGCCAAAACTTTCTCTCCCCCCTGTCTACGCGTTTTATTGCTCTCCACAATTTTCCTCTCGCCCAGCCTCTCGTCGAATACGTCTATCGAACGAATAATTTTATGTATTATATTATGTATTATAAATAGGCGTGCAAAATAGAGGCGAAGATGATCGAAGAAATCGAGACTTAAAGATTCGAAGCTAGAAACTTTCGAAATTCTTCGTTCGAAGATTCCTACTTCTCGACTTCTCTCCCCTTCCCCTTTGATGAAAACTTAAGATCACGCGAACAAGTTTTTAACCCGATGAATACCTCGATCATCTCCACATGAATACCGCTAGAATTCTTCTAACAATAAGATCGAAAATATGTCGACTCGCGCGAATATCATCCACTATTTTCTATTCCCTCCCTTTCATCTGCTACTTTTTCATCAAGGACGACGCCTCGTTTCTTCAGAGGAAGAACACGAGCATAAATTACGCATCGATGTAATCCTACCCTTATTCATGTCTCGCCACGAGAACCTTTATGAAACGTTTCTTTGTTCGTTCACTTTTTCTTCCAGATTTATCGACAGAGACCTTTATTCCCGAATTTAACGCAACTCATTGTGTCTATGAAAGAGAAAGAGAGAGAGAGGGGAGGGGGAGAGAGAGAGAGAGAGAGAGAAACAACAGAATGTTGTTTGTTCATGGTCAAAGAGTATGCTTCTAAGGAGCAATTCCAATGGCGATAATTAAGAGATTTAAAGAATGCAAAGTATGATGAGATGGACTATATTTGACTTTTAATTAAGAAAATATCGCAATAATGTCGGGGGCAACAAGATGCATATTCTCATTGTCATTTATAGTTATCTCCTTGAAAACTTATCAAAGGTATTCGCCTCGTACTACTTTTTCATCCCTCCCCGACGAATGAAACGTTCCTTGATTTTTTTCCTTTTTTTTCCTCTCTCTCTCTCTCTCTCTCTCATCGGTGCAAACAGCTGGGACGAGAACTGACCCTCTTTTCATTTCTTCGAATCTCCGTTTGAGTTCCAACTTTTCAGCTAGACGCTGCTAATCAAGACGTTTAATTACGAATCTCTTGTTGCGAACGTGAATTTCCTTGGATCAATAATCACGGATCGTGTTTATATTCGCTCGTGAATCTTTCCTTTCAAAAATATTTCGACCTCTATTTTTTTTTTTTTTTTGTATATACTTCATTATTCTATACTCAATAATACAATATAGAAATCGTGACGATAATAAAAAAAAGAAATATCAATTAAAATTCTTCTAATTTCGTAAAATCCTCTAATCACACCTCTCCACTCTCCGTATCTCGTTACACAAATTAGAATCTGTTGCATCCCCTGGCAATTAATACGGCCAGCCAGCGCGGAAGCCGGCTGAAAATCCGAAACTGCTTCACGGTTAAGCTGCGTTCCTAATTGTGAACAGTACAGATCGACGATACACGACGATTCACGACTTGTCGTGTAGCAACACCTGTACGAAACAATCCGTCCAAATCGTCCGAATGAAAATTTCACCTCTTGTTCTCACCACGATTCCATCCCTTTCGCTCACCCGTATTCGACGCCTAACGCATTTCCAATCATCGGCTACTTTCGCGAACAATGCAACGCCTCCCTCGCATCTATCTCCTTCCTCAATGGCGCGAGAAACATCGATCGATGAAATTTCCACGCGGATGGAACGTTGGCGGGTCGGTTGATCAATTATTCTCGGCGGAATAACGCGAGAGGGAAACGCGTGATGTTTCTTTCCAAAGCTTGCTAAAAAGCACCGCGTCGAGGTAATGAAATCGATCGAATTCGCCGAAATTTTTCTGCGCGATCGAGCGCGCGTTAAATCCGTGGAGAGTCGATAAATGGTTGCGGCATATCGACGCGTCCCCCCCCGTTAATTTGTACAAGAATCGTCCATGGAAATCTAGTTGGACGGGATGGGTGATGGCCGTGTACGGTGCTGATATCAATTAAACCCGGTGTACGCCGGTGAGTTGGAAAATTTGATGAAATATCGTACGCGGACTGAATAGGAAGAAGAAGATACAGAGGCAAAGTTGAGTAGAGAAACGTGTTAGGAGAGAATTGTGTTTATAGAAATGTGGATGTATAAAAATGTGGAGGAACGCGATATGGTTGCGTTTTCGAGGAAATAGACGAAACAGTTTTTGCAACGGGGATGTGAAAAATGGAATAAAGATTGGAATTGGAAGAAAAATCACTATTTAAGATGTAAAGGATTTTTGATTGAGCAAGAATCTTGCGTTTTTGTCGTTCGATAAATTCGATATGAATGTGATTTGGAACGCTGTTTCCAATGATACACAGGAAAATGTTATTTTCGATCGATATGTTCGATCGGTGAAGAGCCTACTCGAACACTTCTTGGACTTCAAGGTTGAAATCGCCGGGTTTAAATCTAACCGCAATCTCTCTCATAAAGAGCACATTGCTGTACATACACACGAGTACATGCGCTTCGTTTATTGTTTGCAATGCACTTTTGGTTTTTCGATAATTAAAAGCATCAAATACCACAG